CAAGTGTGTGTGTGTGTGTGTGTGTGTGTGTGTGTGTGTGTGTGTGTGTGTGTGTGTGTGTGTTTGTGTGTGTGTTTTAGACAAGGTTCTACAAGCAGCTTTTAGAGTTGTGCCATTGCCTTTGGGGCAAATGAACGGCAACAACAGTGGCAAAAGGGCAAATGGGCAAAGGGTTGGCAAATGGGTTTGAGATGCTCTTTGGTATTTATACATATGTTTATTAAAAAGCGCAAAAGTTGCCTTAAAGGATATGCATGCACATGAATGGCTTTTGTGTCGACGCGCAACAACAGCTACCGTAAAATCCTTAAGCCAAAAGCCATGCAAACAAAAATAAACGAAAGGCCTTTCGGCCATATTCGACGTTTTATATTAATATAAAAAAAAAAAAAACCACCATTTAATTGCAGGCCAAATTCAGCACCAAATCGGATGTTTGGTCCTTTGCCGTTACCCTATGGGAGATATTGACATTCGCCCGAGAGCAGCCCTATGAGCACATGACAGATGCGAATGTTATTGAAAACATTGGACATATCTATCAGGACGATAAAATGCATGTGAGTAGCGAAGCTAACTCTCGGCTTGAGTGCCGCATATATGTACATATATATTCATCTATATTATATAAACATGTATATTTGCAGGAACTGTTGCCAATGCCACTCAACTGTCCGCGCGAAATTTACGATCTCATGTGCGAATGCTGGCAACGCAACGAATCAAGTCGCCCCAATTTCCGGGAGATACATTTGTTTTTGCAACGCAAGAATTTAGGTTTTAAGCCCAACACCCAAACACTGATGTATTAAAAATGTAAAAGAAAAAAAAAATACGCAGAAAACACGAAACACACGCGATTTTAGCAAACATTTGAAATACATATATATCAAATATTATATGGTACATTTAAATTGAAACTACACGATAAAATAAATAAATAAATGAAAACAATGCGAATTTAATGTATTTAAATGAAAAAATACATTTAAAATTAATTGATATGTAGGCAAAAATTCGACTAGTCGTATTTCAGAGTGCTCTAACCAAAAGATAACCCATGAATACTCATATAGAGTCGAATTTTTATGAATAATGTTTCAAAATACAAATTTTGATTAAAAGCAATAACTTACCTGTTGAAATCCCGAATCTTGAACACATAAAATTTAAGTTCGTCTCTTTAATGTATGCAATTAACAACATTCCGAAAATGTTCCAAACACTCTGAAACGGAATATGAATCGTTTATTAGAAATTATTTTTATTGAAATTGTATTTTTTGGAGATTTTGAAGTGGGATCAAAATAGATTGAAGGGATTTTGGACTGAATCCTGGTGAAAACCTACTATTAGCATACAATAATTCCTTAACCAACACTGATTCCTGATTAATTTCTTAACCAACACTGAAAAAATATTTATTGGAAACCCTTTTTATAACTGAACTAAATAAGCCCTGGCAAAAACATACTATCTAATCAGCTTGTATTCATTTTAATGTCATTTCCAAAGGGAGCTTAATATAAATAATGTAGTTGCAATTATTCTTGTCAGAAACTCCATTCCAAACGATTTTTAGTAGCATACTTACAGGAGTCTAAGGGATTTCATATTGAGGTATCCAATTTGAAATTGCAATCTGAGATTTCGAAAGCCGTTCACATTTAAGGAAAAAGAACCTCAGATCTAATGAAAAAAAATGCACTTTTGGTTAGGGCACCATGCACTTTATCGTACTATAATATCTATAAGTGATTCATTGGTCAAAAACAGGAGATGCTTAGAATTAGCTTAGATTTAAGTTCATTTTCAAGTCAATAGCTTAAGTTTATTGCATTCAGCATATTGATAATAGTATTGTAAATATACATATATTTTAACCGATCATAAACAATTGTTTCGACATATGATAGAAATAAGTATTTGTAGTACTGTACGCGTATTCTATGAAATAGAATCTAAAATGTAAACATTGACATATGTGTGTACCTATCGCTCCTCCACCTGAACGCTCTCTATCTAATAATTTTGCTTTAAATGTATATATCTATAGAAAGAACTCTATATATTTATATAAACGTAGTTCTATGCAATCCCCATCTCTCTATCAACTATAACTCAAAATTGAATTTTGATGGATACAAAAAATATAAAAATGAAGAAGAGAATCCAAAACCTGCGTATAATTTTGACAATAAATGTTTGAGCAACTGAATATTAGAATTTCAATTCATGCTAAATGCTTCTAGAACCGTCTAGTAGTGAAGTGTTCTATATAAAACCCATATGATAAGCGTAAATATTCACAGCTAAGATAAAATTTTAATTTCAAGTCAAAGCTCGAACTTCGACACATGACAAAGTCAATTAGACGCATATCAAAAAATATTTCTTTCATTCAGGCTTTCACCTAATTAACTAATCATAAATTTTGTTTTGAAATCAATAAAAAACATTTTACTGTGCCTTTTCCTCGCTTTGATTTCATATACCAACATTTAAATGGAAACTAAATTAATTGCTAATTTGGCAGTTTGTGTTTTATGAATAAGCTTTAAAGAGGTTTCGCTGTAGCAACAAAATACTTGCAAATATATAATTAAAACCATAGAAAACAAATATTTCGAGTTCGGCAGACCGAGTCTCAAATGGCTTTCCAAGCGATTAAAACTTCTCAAAATTGTATTGAACATCTTGGAGAGCGCATTTTATAAACATTTGTAAATGTGCAATTGATTTAATTAACAACTTGTTTCGTAGAGAACTTCAATCATAAATGCTGATTTTGCATTGTAGACTTACATACTGCAACTAAAACTATTATTAAGCGAATGCATATTAAAAAAAAAAAAGAGCATTATTTGAAAAAAGCCATCAAAAATAAAAATAAAAAAAAAAAACAGTTTCAATTGCAACGAATCAAGACACAGTTAATTATATTCACATACTAATTTCAAGGCATTAAAAAGAATTATCTTTAAAAAAAAAAAGGATTTAAAAATGTAGTAAAACAAAGAAAAACGTTGAGCACAATCATGTTGAATAAAAGTTTTAAAATTTAAGTGCATTGAAAATGGCAAAAATGAAAAGCAAAAGAAAATGTTAGAGAAATTACAAATATGTAGCTTAAGCCAAACTGCAGCTAATAACAAAAACCTAATGACATAGAAATCCTAAGTACACAAAATGCGAAAATAAAATGAAAATACGAAATAAAAAGACAACATTTTAAGCGTGCACATTTTTCGGGCGCATTTTCCTGCTCCAAAGGGCGCAAGAGCGGAGCCTACAAAGCCAAATGGCAAAACTAAATGAGACTTTGAGCCGCTGCGTGCTGGCCAAACAGCTGAGTCTTGGCCCTGATACTTGGCGCTACAGAAACACGGACACCTGCCTGGTTGGTGCGGGGGTCGCACTGCGGCAGCGACTGGCAAATTAAATAACATAAAATACAAATCCGCTGCAAATCCGAAGGCCGACTAGAATATAATAAACTTATTAATTCAAATTGCTCGACGGAACGCAGCCAGCAGCGACCTGCGTAGACTTTGGGCCAGCAGCCAGAGGCCGGCTCATCTTTGTCGCATTGTTAAATCCTGGAAAACATCTGCGACTCTCGGTGCTCAATTACAGACAGATTTTCCTGTCTGCCATGCCCAGCGCCTTTGCTTTTCCGGTTGCTGTTGCTAGTTGGAGATGTACATTAACTAGGGATGAGCGCGTGAGCGCAATGAATTAACGTGATTTTACGAATTTTGATGTGAATTAACTATACTTTCGGTTATTTTTGAAGTTTTTATGCTACATTTGGTAACTCTCGCTTTAAAGCTCTGGAAGATTTAGTTTTCAGCAGCCTGATGCGAATATAAACGAGTTAAATGTTTCAAGTTTTTAGTCTCCAGTTTTATAGCGAAGAATAAATAACAGACAGACTTACAAATATGTGCACTTAAGAAATTAAAAAAAAAAATATTAAAAAAAAAAGAAAATATCAACAAATTGCAAGTAATTGAATGCGAAAGAGTCAAAGTATATGATACAAATGCCCATCTCTAGTTCCCACACGCTGATCCTAACGGAACTTATACAGATTTTTATCGCACCTTTTTTGCTCAGCTTCTTGTTTGTGCTGTATGTGTGTGTGTGTGTGCGTGTGTGTCTCCCCCACTGAGCCTGGCAGGTTACGTAATTATTGTTGCGGTTTGGCAGCACTTTGTGCGGAAATTAAGATTTGGCGAATTCGACTGCTAATTGGAAAATATGGGCGCAGTAATAATGCGGAGATATAGAACACAAGTGCTACTTTAATTTAAAGTAACATTTCCACTGCCATCGAAATCAATAAGTTATTATTTGAAGCAGGCCCTCGGGCTCAACTCACTTTTGCTGGCGTCTCACGAGGATGAGGCTGGGGGGGGGGGGGGGGACTGGGACTCGGTTTGGCCGGGCTGCGCTGCCAGCTTATTTGAGTTGGTTTTCTTTTAAGGCTTGCGAAAACAAAATCCCAGACGCAATCTTTGATTTTATTGTAAGCAAACGAAAACAAAGCACACGCAAAAAGAACAAATAGCATCAGTGCCATTGCCGGCAGCAACAAATGCGCTCAGAGATTTTCGTTGGGTTAGAAAAGCAAAAACAACAACAAGCCAAAAGCCTCAAGGCGAACGAACGAAAGGAGAAAAGGAATAGAGGCAAAAGTGTCTGCGGGAGCCCCACTGCAAATTGGCAAAGTGCGTAAAGCATTTTAAATAGCCTGTGCATACAAGCATATGTTTTAGTTTGATTAATATTGTTACGCTTACCTATTTAAGTATGTATTTACACATTTGCGACACTGAACACAATTTAAATAAAAACTACACACGCACACTCTTTATTTTGGCGGGCTCCGATAACTTTGCGAGTGCGATCCACACAGAGCCAAAACTTATCGATTAAAAAGATGTGAGTCGCCTATCGATATTCGTTTTACATTCTTCAATTAATCAGAACATAAATGTTTACCTAAACACGAACACAAATAAGAGCAACATAATTTTACAGTAAATCAAACATTTGTGAGTTTTACCATCTTGAGACACATATTATTCAAATTTAATATGTTTAAAACCCATAAAGCTGGGTTATACAGTGCAAGCCATAAAAATGCAGACGATGTCAGTGGGTAACGTTAAAGCCGTTGCACAGCCTGCTGCACACCTTGGGGACATGAAGTCATCAACTACGACGCCGCCACTCCTCAGACCCCTGCCCCTAGTATAACACTCCGGCGTGAACCGGCTCTGGCTGCTTTCTTGTGGGTGCTGATCAGGAAAAAATAGCCCACTGCACCTTGAGGATTTGCTTTTTATGTTTATTATTTTCTTTGCCCCGCCTGTATATCTGGGTTTGTGTGCGTGTGTGGAGCTGGCCACGTGGCTGGCACCCTTCGCCAATTCGACGCGCTAGTTTTACACCCTTGTGCCTCACCCCTTAAGAAACGCATAAACAGGCCGCAAACGAAACATGTTGCGTTTTTTATGTGGCCTACTAGATCCAGGGGTTAGGGGTTGCGTTGGCTGCTGTCTTAGGTCATCAATAATGGCGCAAACATGCATTAAAGACGCTTGCTTTACATTAAGACGAAGCGGCTTATTGAAATTGGTACACAACCTGAGCCCTTTTTCTCCCTTTTTATTACTACTGAGAAAGGGGACTTGAGCTCTCTGGGGACTCACTACTTTCAATAAAAGTTGTTTGTATTTTGTGGACCGTCTTTTTTTCTATGTGGAGCAGACTTATCCTATTTTGTTAATACAAATATACGAGGTTTTATTTTTTGTGCATTTTGTTTGAATGTAACTATGCCGCTGCAGTTGACAATGTTAACGCAATATGGAGACTGTTAACGCACGGCGCGCTCTGTTAACATAAGTATCGACTTGCCACCACACCACAGACAATCGAAAGATTATCTACTGGGGCAACACTGGTGTGACGAGACCCATTGTGCATTTTTTCTAAATTAAAATGGCATATGCAAGCCAAAAATTTGTTAAATAAAGTGCTATACGGTGTACAAAAGTGATTGCAGGTATGCTGCAATTAAATTAAAGAACAGAAACGCTGTTTTTCAAGCATCAACATAGCAGGTTTTCTGCATGAAAAACTATGCGCGTGTGAGTGAAATTCCAACAATGCGCAGGGAACAAGCTGGCTAAAATTTCTTTATGCAAAGCGTACGCAACAAAAAAGAAGCTAGCGATCAAGCAACGCGAAGGCCAGAAAAAAATTATACCTGGTTGCATGTTGTGTATGTGTGGCGGCGGCTATAAAAAAAAGTGCGTATAATTAGCGAGTGCAGCAACAAGCGTTGTACATACATACATACATATACATATAATTTTAAGACGGCCCACATCAAATCATTGAACTGTACAAGCACGCCCATATTTAGTGTATGTGTGAAACACCAGATTTGCTTGCGTGTATGAGTGAGCTAGTGTATGCGTTGGACAGTGTTTATTTATTACACTTTGATTTTGCAATAAGTTGCTCTTGTTGCTGTAATGCGCGCTTATCCAGCGAACGGAAGTCGCCTACAATTTTCGTGTTTTCATTTCATTATATTACACATACACACACACAAAAAAAAAAAAAATAAAACAATCAAACACGCACACATACATACACATGCATATATACCCACACGCTTTTACAGTTGCCGTCGGCAGCGGCGGCGGCGGTGGCGTCGGCGTCAGCAGCGCAGACTCAATTGCATGAGAATTTTTTTTATTTCTCTTCGTGTTTTTGTTTTACATTTTGTTTTGTGGTCGTCGGCGCGCAGCGTTGACTTAATTTATTGGCAGCATTGTTGCTGCTGCGCCTGCTGAAAATGAAAGTGTGTTAGTATGTATGTGTGCATGTATGTACTGCAAATTGCGAGCCCAGCGAAACAAAAGCAAAAAACAAACAAACAAACCAAATTAACCAATAAAATCTCACAGCAGTTTTTTATTTATGAGATTTAAGAGATTTCATTTTATGTTGCTTAATTAGATGAATGTTGCTCAAAACAGAAAGTCTTGTAATGCTTTTATTTTAAGAGTTTCAATATTAAAAAAAAATTAATAATATTTGAAAATATGCCTACATGTAAAACACTATAATTATTTTCTCTAAAATCATAAAAAGGCCTAACTTTGAGGCTATTAATTTATTAAATTTACAGTTCTACAAAACTAGCTTACATTAATTATTTTAGCTCAACTTTTGGCTGACTTGACTTGAGCAAACTACACTGGTGTCCCCATAATACAGTGGTGTCTACACGAATAGGAAAACACACTTTTTTGTGCATAGATCAATGAAATATTTATAATAGTTTTTATGGATAAACTCAATTAAATTTTTCGTATAAATTAATAACAAATATTTAAATAATGCTTTAAAGAACCGAACACCGTATTTTTGTATATATTAAAATTAATTTCTATACTATTTAATCACGTCAAATGCCAGCTTTGCTACGCCCCCGCGCCGTTTCCCCCTCAACGTAAAAAAATATAGAAAAATATTTAAACCGTAGTTAATTTTAATGTTTATTATGCCTTTTCAGCTTAATCACAAGGTCTAAAGTTCAGCACATATCATCCAACTGATTGGCATGCCGTAGCTGCAGTAGCAGTAGCAGCAGCAGCAGCATTAGCAGCGCCTTAATGGATCCATATCATCATATCAGACATCATGTGAGTGTCATCTTGAATCTTGTATAGTGCATTGTATGTCCATTAAGAACTTCCTTTTGATCGTATGCTGTTTGTCTCTTTCCTAGCAGTATCCACCCACTAGCACAGCCGGCTCAACGGTGGTTGGCAGCGGCACCACCGGCTCAATAAATCGACCAGAATTGCATCAAAAATGCAATCGTGGCTCGCACTCGAGTGACACAAGTTCAGCGTACAGCGGCAGCGATACAATGGCCTCTGTCTATGGATCATCGCTGGAGGCCGAGGAGATTGATCTCTCCGGCCTCGTTGAGTCTGTGGTGGACTCCGATGAGGAGGATCTTGCCGAGAGCATGGATGTGAGTTGGTCATATCGAGCAAAATAGAATAATCTTCAAAGCAATCTGAAATCGATTCAACTTTATTGAGATTTGTGTATGCTTTTGCTAATTTTGTGTCCTGTCTTCACAGAGCCTCAATGTGCGTGATGCCGTGCGAGATTGCCTCGAGAAGGATCCGTCGGAGCGCAGCGAAGATGATGTGGAAATACTGCTGGAGTTTACGCAGGGCCTCAAGGCATTCACAAACATAACGCTGGCGGTGCGACGCGCCCTCTGCTCCGTGATGGTGTTCGCTGTGGTCGATAAGGCCGGCACAGTCGTCATGTCCGATGGCGAGGAGCTGGATTCCTGGTCGGTGCTAATCAATGGCGCCGTGGAAATCGAGCATGCGAATGGCACACGCGAAGAGCTCCAAATGGGCGATTCCTTTGGCATATTGCCCACAATGGATAAGCTATATCATCGCGGCGTGATGCGCACCAAATGCGATGATTGTCAATTTGTGTGCATCACACAAACCGATTACTATCGCATACAGCATCAGGGCGAGGAGAATACGCGCAGGCATGAGGACGAACAGGGACGCATTGTGATGGTCACCGAACTGCGCTCCATTGGCGGCAGCGGTGCGGAGAGCGCAACCACAACAGGCAGCGGCTCGGCAGCCACAGCTCATTTAAATACAAAGCGCGGTCATGTGGTTATTAGAGGCACACCTGAGCGGCTGCTACAGCAGCTTGTCGAAGAGAACTCGATGACGGATCCGACATATGTGGAGGATTTCCTGCTAACGCATCGCATTTTCATACACAATCCGCAAGAGGTGACCAGAAAGCTATTGCACTGGTTCGATCTGGAGCAACTGGATTCGCACAAAACCCAAGAGTTGCGCGATCGTGTTACCCGCGTCGTGCTGCTCTGGGTGAACAATCATTTCACAGATTTTGAGGCTGATCACGAAATGATGGAGTTCCTGGAGATCTTTGAGGCTGGCCTGGAAAGTAAAAAGCTGCTTAGTCAGCTCCGTTTGCTGCACATCGCGTGTGCAGCCAAAGCGCGCATGCGCAGTTGCATTTTAACGCGCTCTTCACGCGATGAACCACTTAATTTCCAAATCATTGGCGGCTACGAACTGCGCGGCGTGGCCGCAGCTACGGGCAATGCCTCGGTAGGCATATACATATCGCACGTGGAGCCAGGCTCAAAGGCTCAGGATGTGGGCCTCAAGCGTGGCGATCAGATACACGAGGTTAATGGCCAATCGTTGGATCATGTGACCAGCAAGCGTGCCCTGGAACTACTGACGGGCACCACGCATTTGAGCATTCAGGTGAAAAGCAATTTGCTAGGCTTCAAGGAAATTATGCAGGCACTGGAGCATGGCAGCGGCAGCAGCTCTGCAGGCGGTGGCATCAGCTCCACCGGCAGCGGCAACGGCAGCTTTAAAAGCTTGCGCAGTCCACGGCGCATTTGCGCCAACGATATTGCCAAGCTGCATGGACGCAGCGACAGCACCACCGAGGAGCTAACCAATCGTGCGCACATGGTGCGCCTGAGTTCCGTGGACATGCTACTGGATCAGCCGGACTGTGCGCCACCTCAGACGCCGCCGGTGAGTGCGGGCAGCGGCAATATGGCTTCGAATTTTATGCAACAATTGCTTCAAAGCGTCAATTCAAATTCGGCCAAGAAGTGCAGCGCTGAGGACAGCAAACCGGGAGGCTTCATGACGCTGGCGCCCAAACGGCGACTGCAGAAAGCCTTAGCCAAAATGAATCTACTCAACAAACAGCAGCAGCCGCACGTGGGCGGCAGCCTAAACGACAGCTCCGACACGCTGCTCAATGAGCCACAGTCCAAGGCAAAGCTATCGGCCGCCAGTTCTGGCAGCAGCAGTTGCCATTCCACAAATGGTGTCTGCACTACCAGCGGACGCCTCTATCAATCGCAATCTAATCCGGATCTGAGCAGTCTAAATTATGACAATAGCGGCGAGCCGAGTGCCACGCTGCAAGTCAACTATTTGCAGGCGCACTTGCATCGCCCCTCCGCTGCCAGCACACTCACAAGCAGCTCAATGCTGCCGCCCGACTATCCGGAGCATGTGCTCAAGGTGTACAAATCGGATCAGACATGCAAATACGTGCTCATCTATAAGGAGACGACGGCGCACGAGGTGGTCATGCTGACGCTCCAGGAGTTTGGCATACACGATCCAAGCTCGAACTTTTCGTTGTGTGAGGTGAGCGTCGGGGAAGGCGGCATGGTAAAGCAGCGTCGTTTGCCCGATCAGCTACAGAATCTGGCGGAGCGCATCAGCTTTGCGGCACGCTATTATCTCAAGCTAAACGACAGCACCGAGCCGCTTGTGCCGGACGAACTGGCGTTGGAGCTGGTGCGCGAGTCGGGCGTGCATTTCCTACAGCTCAATGCGTACGAGCTGGCCATACAGTTGACGCTACAAGATTTTGCCAATTTTCGCCAAATCGAGTCCACGGAATACATTGATGAGCTGTTCGAGCTGCAGTCCAAATACGGTGTGCCCATGCTGAGCAAGTTCTCCGAGCTGGTGAATCGCGAAATGTTTTGGGTGGTCAGCGAAATCTGTGCCGAACACAATATCGTGCGTCGCATGAAGATCGTGAAGCAGTTCATCAAGATTGCGCGCCACTGCAAGGAGTGCCGCAATTTCAACTCCATGTTTGCCATCATTTCGGGTCTGGGCCATGGCGCCGTGTCGCGCCTGCGCCTAACCTGGGAGAAGCTGCCCTCGAAGTACCAGCGTTTGTTCAATGATCTACAGGACCTGATGGATCCGTCGCGCAACATGTCCAAATACAGGCAACTCGTCTCTGCAGAGCTGCTCGCCCAGCATCCCATCATACCCTTCTATCCGATTGTCAAAAAGGATCTAACCTTCATACATCTGGGCAATGATACGCGGGTGGATGGTTTGATTAATTTCGAAAAACTGCGCATGCTGTCCAAGGAGGTGCGTCTGCTGACGCACATGTGCAGCTCACCGTATGATTTGCTGGCCATATTGGAGCTCAAGGGTCAAACGCCCTCGAATGCGCTCTTCTCGCTCAATCAGATGTCCGCCTCGCAGAGCAATGCAGCTGCCGGCACGGTAATTGCTGCCAACGCTGGACAGGCTACGATCAAGCGGCGCAAGAAATCGACGGCGGCTCCGAATCCCAAAAAAATGTTCGAGGAGGCGCAAATGGTGCGACGCGTCAAGGCCTACTTGAACAGTCTCAAAATACTAAGTGATGAGGATCTGCTGCACAGGCTCTCGCTCGAATGTGAGCCACCGCATGGCTCCACCTATTCGGGCAGCATTTCGCATGGCAACAGCTCGCATCGCAGCGCAGGCAGCGGCAGCATTGGTGGCACCGGCGGCAGCGGCGGCGGCACTGGCACCGGCAGCATAAATGCCGGCGGCGATCAGCTCAGCATTTATTCGCACACCAGCTCCAGTTCGGCGCCAAATTCATCGCTGTCGCTGCGCAAGCGACATCCCAGTTCTCCGACGCTCTCTACAACCAGCTCAACGAGTTCCACCAGCGATCATCAGCGTCAGCGCCAGCAGCTACACAATAATGGACCCAAATTTGGTACTGCCTCGCCGCAGGCGGTCAAAAAAATGCTCTCCCTGTCTGAATCCTCAAAGATACGCCCGCATCAGCCATTCGTGCCGCGTCACAGTTCCGCGCTGCCTGGCGTCATCCCGCCGCTGCATCATTTGCATGCAGCGCATGGCTTCAGCACGCCAGCTGTCAGTGGAGGAGGTGTGGTTGCAGCCGCTGCTGTCTCAGCGGGCGTGGCCAATGCGCAGTGTACGCCCAGTCCCAGTCCGTGTGCCCATCGACGCTTGGCATCTGGAGGTAAGCATAAGACAAATATCAATTGCCTAATCCATGGCCTGGTGGATTAGCGTTACGGAAAAGTGCAGGCAGATTAAAAAATAGAAAATCCGTAATGCATATACAGAGAGTTCTTAGGAAAAACAACCGGCTGGTGCTTTTAAAAGGAAAATATAATAAAATAGGCTCTGGGTATTTAAACCAAAAATCACGCTCATTAGCATGAAGTTAGGCTCAGAAATAATAGGAATCCATTAAGTTATGTTTTAGTGGAAAGCAAAAACAACTTTAAATAGTTCGTGCAATTAAATCTATCTCGTGTGCCCGCTTTTCCACATCTGTGAGACAGTTCGTGCATCATTAATCAATCTATTAATTTGCTTCTATTTTGTTTTTCAGGCAACATACTGCCGACACGTGCGATACACGAGCGTTCCCATTCGGATACGCCTGCCCCGCCGCCGCCTTTGCCCTCCGTGGATCTATCGCTGGAGAGCAGCAGTGTGACGACATTTCGTGACCTGCCGCTGCGCAAATCCGTGACTTCCGGTAAGTGAAACGAGTGAAGCTCTTTGATGTAAAGTCGCCCATGTCATAAACTAAACGCTTAGCGCTGCCTACTAAAACCTAGGTTCCATTCTAGCTCATAGTTAATAATAGTGCTTAATTGTAGCTTAATTTTAGTAAGCCTCTAGCTAAAAATCGTTAGTTGCGCCTAAGTATACCCCGCTCCTTGCTTGCAATTTGGCCGATTCTTTTTTTTATATATATATATATATATTGGTGGTTGGTTATCGCTGCTTCGGCATTTGGTTGTTGGTCTCTCACATTGCTTTATACACACACACACACACGCAAAAATACACCCACACATACCACACACAGACTGTGGCACACTTTTAGCTACTTTTACTCTACTCTCATCGCCACAAACAAACACCCAACAGGTTCAGTTTCATCGTGTGACAGCGGGCATGGCTCCTACGCCCAGCAGCAGCAGCCGCACCATCAACAACACCACTTGACATACCAACAGCAGCAACAACAACAACAACAACAACAGCAGCAACAACAAATAGCACACAATGAACCGTCGCCACCCGTTTACACGGCTGCTGATTGCCGCCTCTTGCAGCAAATTTCAAATAATGCGGTCACGCGGAACTTGAATAGTCCTTGCCAGAGCACCAGCACACCACCCAGCACACCCACACCACCACCACCAACACTACAGCAACAACAACAACAACAACAACAACAATTAGCACCACCACCGCCACCAACAGCTGCTTGCATACAGCCACCACAGCTTCCTGCACCGCCAGCGCCCTATTTGCATATGCGCAGTCACCAGCAACTGCAGCAAATACAACAACAATTGGCCATGCCGCCACCACCGCCACCGGTCTACACCAGCAGCCTATACAATCATCATCATAGCAATGCCACAAGCAGACATCTGAACCACATGCATGGTAAGTCGAGGCGAGCAGAGCAGAGCAGAGACTGGAAACGCTGACCACCAAAGCAGCGGCGAATGCAACGCAAGAGCAACTGGGGCATGAGATTTAGTATACGATTCAATAGCATATATATAGAGAAGGCCTGGGTGAAGGACGTGCCATACGTCTATCTATATGTCGCCCCATCTCTTTAGTGAGAATACTTTGACATTGTTATTATTATAAGTATATCAGTTAAAAACGAATGTCATTTATGTACTCACTCAATTGTTGGCCTACAAGAAAATATTGATATTTAACAATTTTGATAATTTATCAGAATTTGTGAGGAAATGAATAGACAATTGTATAGGCAGGATAAAAACATAAGCTTGGGCTCATTTAGCAACTACATTAGATCAGATATATATATATAAAATAAGTAATATAATACTGTCCAGTTATAACATTTAAAGTTGATCAAGCAATTCACCAAAATAATTCATCATTTAATATTGTTCTTCTGCAGGTGGTCCGCCAAATTTTATGGATAGCACCAAGTGTACCATATGCCCCATGCCACCCATGAATCAATAAGAATCAAACTGTGCTGTTTTAACTACTAAATGTTAATTTAATTAGTTGTGAGTACAATAACAATTCAAGCCCAAATGCGCAAATACTTACTAATTGTACTCTCTGTCTTACAGCATATATAAATATATATACGCCAAAATTTGTTAATGGTTGTGGTTTCCATGTCACCAGCAAGAAACACAAGCTCACACATACACACGCATCTATATACAATTGTGGCACACCCAATGATGAGCTGTTGCCCCCCCGAAACAAAAAACGCACACACAATGTGCACATGTGCGTATTCCATTTATAATTTCTATCCGTTAACGTTCGAATACCCAACTGTCACGTATTCTTAGATAAGACGCCTAAAGTTTAGTTATGCTTTATGTTTTAAGTGGCTTACGATTAATTTTAATTTAGCACAATTCTTTGTAAACATTTTCCTCAAAAGCTTACTCAAAAAACAAAACAAAAAAAAAAAAAACAAAAGAATAAGGAATCATCCACAAGTTGTTGCCTTCTCATCATGCATCAAAAGAAACACGTCTGCAGGCAGACCAAACCAGCAGACCTAATCAAAAACATTTGCAATCAAAAAACTCTTTTGAAGACTTTCAGTCGGCATAAAAAAAAAACTAAATAATGATAAATTTGCCCAGCACAACAGTAATAATAACAATATTAATAATAATAATAATAATGATAATAATGTAAAGAAAGAGACGCGGCCGACTCAATCTATTGTATTCCATTTATGTATACCTTAGCTCTATATATATATATACATATATACAAGTTAGTTTTATCTATACATACACATACGTATACATATGCAAAGTAATGATAAAACCTTCGCTCCGATTCCAAATATTTAGTTTGTAAGCCGAGAGATTTTTTCGAATATTTTTCAAGCGTTGTATTTACTATTATTTACTCTACACATAAAAGACAAATGCAACTTATGTGAAAACAAAAACAAAAACAAAAAAAAAACAACCCAAGAACAAGAAAAGACAAACCTAGACAAGAAATATGAAAGTACAAGCAAATCGAAACCAACCAGAAACAAGAAGAAGTAAACAAAAACCTGAGACTTGAACAACAACATAATATTATATACATGTAATAATAATATGGATAATTTTTTTTGTAAACATATTCTTCTCGCACATTAAGGACTCCAATATTTTTGTGTGTGTATATACATATGTATGCGATTGCCTGTTATATACATAAATACATATACATAATATGAATATATATACATACGACTATATACAAGAAATCTCTACATATATATTTATATATAAATATATATATATATATGTATACAAACCAGAACAAAGTGCAGCCCAACTAGCTTAATTTTTGTGCAGCATCAATTTAAGTTTCGCTTCTAGAAATTCAAGCAAAACAAAAAGAGAAGAAAAGAAAAAACAAATCAAAGCTCTAAATGTTTAATGTATACTTGTGCTCTTTTATGTTTAAGTTAAGATATTTTGCTTTTAATGGCTTAAAAGAAAATTAAATGTAAAGAAACAAAATGTTTGTGCTTATTCGCTCGAATTCAATTTAAATTAAAGTAAAAATCTCATTAAATGTTACTGCGCTTAAACGCGAATTTGAATGCTCTTTTCTAAAGTCGGGAATATCTAAAAGTGATTCAAATAGCACAAAACGACAATTTTCTTTAATTCCAATGAATCTAATAGATTAAAGATATGAATATGAGAATTGCTTCTGATATTTTTACTTGGCTAACCTTTCAGTTTTATTTAATATTTAATTTTTTTATAATCTTTTCAAATCACGTTAGCAAATTTATCATTTGATAATTTCCAGCTTTGGAAAAGAGCAAAAGCCTAAAGAAACCCGAAACAAAAAAAATAAATGCGCAATAAATTAAAATGTAATATTAACTTGCTACTAAATAAAAATATTTACAAATTATTTTAATTAAATACTTTATGTAATTCATTTAAGCTTCAAATTGCATGTGTATTATATATATGTCATATATATGTATAATATATTAAAAAAAAATTACTTTGGAAACACAACAAAAATACATACAGTATTTAAAAGCTAAAAAGAAAACGCCGAATTTTTGATTGAAATTGTATAATTTTTTTATTGCTTTGCGTTGCGTTATGCATATCAATTGGTTCATTAAAAAGAATGTATAAATAATTTGGCTTTAAACCTAAGCACTATGATTAATACAAAATTTGTTTTGCATTGGGTGGAGCGCTTAAATTTTGGTAACAAATTCTGAATCTTAAGCATACAAATTTAGGATCACAAAGTAATTTGACAAAATGATCATAGTATGGTGGTTTATAGCTGCCACATATTGGAAAAATCGTGTTACTTATTGTTACATGAAATGAATATGAAACCAAGTCTTTGTGGTTACCCAAAAGTTGTTCGTTTTCTTTTCTCTCTCGCTATTCATAAGATTAGACTTAAATGAGAAATACTATTGGAGCAAGTGATTCAGTTTAGATTAACCGCGTGCGCTTCAGATAGGTAATGAGCAGATTATATATAAACTTATATTGCGCTAGCGATGGTATAATGCTGTCCCGCTGATGTCGCAGCTGTCCAATGACGCGCGGTATGTCCAAGTCCTGCACGAAATGAAACATAAGTTACTCTCTACCATTTATTTCTCAACTATATTTGAAGCTCACCTCGTTGTGATCCAGCGTATAGAGCAATAGATCAGCTGTCAGTGTAACACCCGAACGTCCGCCACCTTCCAGGCAGTGTATGAGCACCGGCGGATTTGTGTTGTGTCCCGGTGGCACTTCGTGTGTGGATGCCAATCTAACCGAATTGAGTTCCTCAAGAAAGTCGAGAAAGTGATTGACATCACGTGGACAATTCTGCTCCGCCCAGTCAGCGTATTGCAGATGCCACACGGATCGATAGCGACGCGATGGTGCATGATACAAACGCAATTTGCTGGTGGTGCAGCGATCTGTGGTTTGTGAGAATTCCTGATACACCTGGAACTGCAAGCAAATATCAACCTGGTTAGTTATTGCCAGCTGCTGCATTTGCTGGGCTACTTACATGTCCAAACTCCATGCCTTCCTGACTGCTGAGCGGTATGTAGCTGATATCCTCCGTCAGCTGCACCACCAGATAAACATCCGCCTCCCACACGCACTGCCAGAAGATGCGCATCGTTTGCGATTCCTGCGGTGATTGGGCTACAATATAAAATCGCTGCTTCGTGCCGACGGTGGCCTACAAATATAAAACCTGGGTCATGGTTACGATCTCATTAAGCAAATTGAAAAAAACACACCGATATATATGAGGCATTCACATAGCCATGGCGATTGTCCATTGATGGCGTCAGACGCACGCGGTTATCATCATATGGCAGAAAATTGGGATCATGATTCTTAAGTTCGTTCTCCTCCAGCAGCGCACAGTCGTATTGCGCATGCTCACGTCTCTTCGGTATGCGCTCGAACTCCATAAAGAGCTGTGCATCCTGCAGTTTATCGTTTAATATCTGGCACTGCAAGATCAATGCAAATGACATATTAATTTTCACAACATAAGGATCCTTATCGCTACATTTACCAATTTATCCTTTGAATACTGCCCCGATATGGGCTGCGGCTTGCTAACGCCCGTTGACCAACGATGCGGCAGATTGAGATCGTCCTGGGCCAGCTTCATTTTCGTTGCCAGCTTGGCATGTTGGGCGGCTGTGCTGGCCTTCTCTCTGCCGAGCGTGGCAGACTTTTGTTTATCGGGCGTTTTGCTGCGCGACAGAATGTTCCAGCGCCGGCGACGCTTCACATCTTTGCTGGCCGACGAGGAGCCGGTGGTATCCAGCGTGGAGTTGAACATGGAAGACGTGGACGCAGATGTATTGGCTGACAGATTCATGGCACTGAATTGCTGATGCAACAACGAGTCGCCCGCCGGCGATATCACATCCACCGTGGACTTGTTCAGGCTGGCCGACGAGCGATGCTGACGTGGCGGCGCCGTGGCACCAATTGCGGGCGCTGCGCTGGCGGCGCGTGCCGCACGCTGCGGTGCCTGTGGCTCCAGGAACTGCAGCTCCGTGCTGGCCGCACGATCGGCGCCGTATTTCTTAATATTTCTGGTAATCTCATCGTCCGCCTGAGCATTGACAGTCAGCGTAACCACATTGTTGTTGCTGTTGTTCTTCTTATTGGAGTTGGCATGCCGTGCAGCGGGTACGGGCGCCACGCCCGGCGGCGCAGATTGTATGGAGGAGGCGCGTTGCCGCATGGCATCCGCATTGGCATTGCTGCCGCCGCCGCTGCCACCGCTGGCACGCTGCGGCAGCGGCACATTCTCATAGATGGGCTCAATGGAGCCGTTCATGGCGCTGCGCTGCAAAGGCGTCGGCGTCGTAGCCGCCGGCTGTGGACTGCTCGCCGGCGGTGGCGCCGAGCTGCGATAGCCGCTGGGCGGCAGCGTGGGTGAGCTGCAAGAGGTATGGCCGAAAATTAATTGAATTGAATGGGGAAATGGTTTCGAATTACCTCTGGACAGCTGCTGCTGCGGCGGCGGCCTGACTCATCGCCGACTGACGCAGCTGGGACATAATGGACGGCTGCTCCTCGATCATGTTGAGGTTCTCGAAGGTGCCATGTGGCGGCAGATACGGTTGCGAGTGGCCCATGTGGCCAATGTACGGATACTGATGCAGCATTGTGGCGCCCGAGGATGTGGGCATATTACCGCCACCGCCGGCGCCATGGACACCGCCGGCAGCGCCAGCCAAGGCGACAAACTGGCCGCCGTTGAGCAGATTGCGATTGGACACCAGATCGGGCGATGAGCCGGACACATAATTGCGATAGCCCTGCAGCGAACGCGGCGTGGCCACAGCCAAATCCGGCGTAGACGAAGAGCTCAGCCGATTCACCGGATACGGCGGCGGCGCCTTGTGCCGCATCATGTGCATGCGCTGCGACAGCTCCAAATAGGCAGCCGGCTGCTGCAGCTGCTGCTGTTGCTGTGTCTGATAGAAATTGAGATGATGATGATGTGCGTGCAATGCAGCCGCCGGCTGTGCCACATCCGGATAGCGATGCGCCGCCGTCAAATGATGTCCAAACAGCAGGCTCTCGCTATAGACGGCCGGATTGTGGACATCGGGCTGGGAGCCCGCATAATAGGCGGCCGCATTGCCGGGCGTCGCCAGCGCCAGGGCCACATTGTGCAGATCGGCGGAGGGCGTGCGATACTTGAGCTGTACGGCCGTCTCGTAGTCCGGTGCGGGTCGATAGGTGGGCAGCATGGCCTTGAGGCGTTCCCGTTCGTGTGTGTCTGTGCTGCTGCTGTTGTTGTTGTTGCTGCCGTTGCCGTTGTTGTTGTTGTGATGCAACATGCTGTTGCTGCTGTGCAAATTGTTGTTGCTCAAATCCAAACAGCTGCTGCTCTGGCCCAGCAGCTGGCTGTGACTGGCGGCCAGTGAAATATTGGACGAGAGTAGCTGCTGTTGCTGCTGTTGTTGTTGTTGCTGCTGCTGCTGCAACTGTTGCTGCTGCTGCTGTTGTTGTTGTTGCAATTGTTGCTGCTGCTGCTGCAACTGTTGCTGCTCCGCGGCCGCCACGTAATCGTACTCCACATAGCCCACACTATCGCCACCCAGTGTGTGCCCATTGCTGCTCTCCATGTCGGCGCCAACGCTGCTGCCCAAGCTGGAGGGCGTATCCGTGTCTATGTAGCGCTTGAAGAACTTGTGCTGCATGATGCACAGCTTCCAGAAGTAGCGTGCAATGTCCGCCTCGCTGAAGATGAAGCTACCCACAATGCTGCCATCGCCTTCGAGCTTGTTCTGCTCGATTTTGATGGTGCGCTTGTCAATGGTCACCGTGTGGAACTCCTTCCAGGGGAAATACTGCCTGCCGTTGTCCGCATTCACAACCATGCCATTGATGGCCAAGCCGAGCAGCAGATCATTGCCCAGCGTATCCTTGGCCGGAAAGCGCTCCTCGCCATAGCCATCCAGCTGCTGGCAACATTGTATGTACATCTCCTCCGCCTGGCTCTGATTCAGATGCGCCAGGCCCGCATGCTGCTGCAGCACCTCCATGATCAGGCCGTCCAGCATGCTGTCGTCGTTGGCCAGGCCCTGCATATTGCGCGGCAGCACCAGCGATTTCTTCAGATAGTCCTTGGACTGTTTGTCGCCCTGATAGCTATCATATTCCGCCTGGCGGCAATAGAGCGCCAGCAGGATGGCCGTGCGTATGTCGCAGGCGATGCGCCCCTCGTAGATGTCGCTCTTCAGCTGGAGGAAGTAATAGAAGCGTGTCGCCTCGTCGTTCAGATGCCGTACACCCGTTGTCACATAATGGCGCACACGCAAATACATCTTGTTGTCCGCTCCATATTTGACCAGCTGGCGACTGAGCGAACGCTCCAGGTCCAGCCATTTGTATTCGTCCTCCTTGTCCTTGACCAAGTAGCGCAGGCCAAAGAATTCCGGCTGCTGGATGTACAGACGTTGGCACACATTGTCCAGGCACTCCTGGCCCTTGCTCTCCGAGCTGATGGTGCAGTCGACGGTGCTCGAGGTATCTGCCAAGTAAGAGACACACATACATAACTATATAATGGATAAAACGTGCGCAGATAAGCACCGAAACCATAACGGCGGCAACAACAACGCTTGGCAACACAGCACGCGCAAATATGCTAATGTACACACAGATATTTTTTGTTGTCTAATCGTTTTTTCTTTTGTTTTTTTGTTTTTTGGATTGCCCTATACGTTTTTATTGAGCCCCAGCGGAAATCGTTGGGGTATCTTTTTTGTTTACAGCGCGCACACTGTTAGTTAACAGTGCGCGCCTGTTGACAACATGACACTTGCTGAAAGTGGGCGATGCAACTGATTAATCAATATATATAAATCAATTGCTGACACAGTCTTCGCCATAAACAGAGATTTATTATAATTAAACTTATACTCAAGTTGTCACTTTAAGCACATGTCATTTTAGCACAAGGCAAATGTGTAGCTGCCAACTGTTAACAGGCGGCGCCTGTTAACTGCCTAACAGTGGCGCAACAAGTCAAATAGAAAAAAAAATAAATAATGCCGTATTTGTTGTTGCTATCGTTGATTTGTTTTGACAAAAAGCGAATTCCAAAAAACTGGTCATAACGAAAGCCGTCGTCGTCGACGCCGCCGTTGCTGTTGCCAAGATAAACGCACGGCTTATCTGTCGTTGTTGGCCTTATAAAAATAACACACACAATTATGTGTTTCCAATTAAAAACGCGAAAATGAGTAAATAAATCAACAAGTGTAAAAAGCCTGACGGCAGCTGCGTTTCTTGTTGCTTCTTGCTGTTAACGGCGACTCATAGACTCGTGCAATTGTAAACTTGTACGCTTGTGAGGGGTGCCGTTGTTATTGATAGTCTTCTTCTTTCCCTTGTTCTTGTTGCTGTTGTTGTTGCTGATACGCCCCCACATACGCACACACACACACACACTCACCTAGCAAATGATGCACATTTATAACAAATAAATTTTTGGACGTCACATTATATTGTCGACATTTTTTAAAGAATTTCAAAGGCATTTCCGTGCCGTTGTGTGTTTTGAACTATACGCAAGACACGCTGCTGCTGCTGCTGCTGCTGTGGGCTTTGGCTGAGGTGTTGCTGTTGTTGGCCAGCAGGTACCAACGACATTTGCATGTAAATTACACAATTGGATTTAGTTGGTTGTTGATTTTTTCAAGCTGTTTGTGTACAGCTTGTAAGGCACTTTGAATCGAACACAGTTGTGTACACGTTAAGCATTAAAATTAAATAATTAAAAGTTATTTAAAGTCGTTGCAAAAAAATAAATAAAAAAAGAGTTAACAGAAAAACTAAAACGAAAGAGTAGTTTGGTAGTGGTATCGAATATGCAAGTGAGTACAATTGCTTGCAGTTAGAGATGTGCGATACATCCCCTTTTAACAGCTAGCTGTTAAGTTTGCGTGAGTATTCTCCGTGTTAACCGTGAATAAAGTGTAAGAAAATCAATAAAGATGCACCATTGTTCTAATTGGATTTATTGTATTCAGCATATATATGCTAATATTATTCACTGACATTTATGAATAATTTCATTTAATAGCCGTTTTATTGAATATGTTAACAGTACACCTGTTGCCTTAACTTTACTTTAACAGAAAGGCTACTCCACAAGCGTCAGCGTTTTCCTCGTTCTCTTACGCATAGTATGCATACTCAGCTTAACTGAGTAAGTTTCGTTAAGTGTGCTCACTGAACGATTGTCCAGCGATGAACGCCAGCAGAACCACTTGAGTAACAATAACAACAGTATCGCTTTGTTCAGGCTGCCGATCGGACGTGGATTTTTGTCTATTACTGCACCGAAATATGCACCAACTATTCATCAATTAATTTCATTACAATCAGTTTAACTTTAACCACACACCGATACGGGCCTTCATTACGAGCGACAGCTGGTCGAACACACGTAGGCGCGTTACACAGGGATTAGCCAAATACGCACACATATAGTCAATTACATGCATACATATGTGCATGTGTATGTATAGGTGCGCTTCGCCGTTGTTGTTGTTGTTACTGCCGCTGCTGCAGTCGCTGTAGTCGTCGTCGTCGTCGTCGTCCGCGTCGTCGTGGCTTCCACTTTAACTAAATAAAACAAATTAAGCGCTCGCGCAACGTCAACGCAAAACGTGTACAAAAAAAATAAAAAAAATTAACGAAGAGGAAACTCGAAATAAAAAAGTAGAAATCAACAGTAAAAAATCTGTAAATCTGCACAAACGACTGAACGGGCAGCCACATTCAAATTAACAACGCACAAAGTGTAAGTTCTACGCATTTCAGATACATACACACACATTTTTATTTAATATTTTAAACCAATTGATCGTTTCGTTTTCGTATGCGGCATTTGATGGTCAAGGTTACAGCAACAACACAAGAGAGATCAATACATATGAAACATACACACGCATGCATAACAGGCGCGCGTGTGTGTGTGTGTGTGTGTGTGTGCATATTTGTATGTACACACGGGCTGCGTGCCTGCCTACGTGTGTGCGAGCGAGACAAGCTACTGTTACTGGCGTAGTGTAAAGTTCATTACCTGTTGCTGTTGCTGCTATTTCTTTTGAGTCTGGCTTCGTTTTTCCTTTATGGGTCTTATTAAACAGGTTGCATGCTCGCTAAATTTGAGGTTACATTTGATTTGTTCGTCTCGCTCGCACTACCATCGCCTTGCCTAGCAGCGCTATCAGCAAATTAATTCAATAAATGTTCTCTTATTTCGAAATGAGTTTAGGCGCGCCTTCCAAAAAGCAGACTACTGGATTGATAATCGTTTGGTTTTTTTTTTCTTTCTGATGCAATCTGGCAACTCTCTGTTGCTTGATTGAGCTAAACTCCGTTAGTCGCTTTGTTGTTGTGCTGCTCAGCTGTTTTTTTCTTATGAGCTGCTACAGCTGACTTTCAATACCGTAATAACTGTTCAATTGACTAGGTTTCGCAAAGATTTAGTTTATTTAAAAAAATCCCAATTGGAGATATTAAAAAACGAATCTTGAAAAAAAATCATTGAATATTCAAAAGTTTCTTGACTTTTTTGAGTTTTTATACAAATTTTGTTGTATACGCTTGGACTTTGCACGTTTCGCGTCATTGACCAAAGCAAAATAATAATAATAATAAAAAAAGGTAGTAAAAAAAATATTTGCCTTTGACATTGAACCAAATAAAAGCGATTGGGTGGTTTTTTTGGCAAGGTTGTCTTTAAACTAGGCTTCCCCTTAATTTATTGATCTACGCTAAACTCGAGCGCACGCAGCGAAACCCTTGAGTTTGCCCAGTTTTAAAATGCCAACGACTTTTCACAGCGATAACAGACACTCAAACACACACGCACACACACAAGCAAACACTAAATTTTGCTCATTCATGCTTACTATTTGGTTGACCGACTAACTTGGCACATTCACGCTATCTAAGCGCTCTGTTTATCGCTTCGACTAACTAGCGAAATCTGTTCTAGAAGTCTAGGGGCAACCCTCGCCCATGGACTCCAAATATGCCACACACACAAATATTTGTTGTGATTTGCAAGGTTTTTATTTTGACTGAAAGTATGTAACGATGATAGAAACCTATCTGAATGTGTTTGGAAGTACACCCGAATTAGCTGTCATATTGAGCAAAATTATCAGAAAGTTTATAAATTGAACGTGTCAAAGGTTTTTATATATGTATTCCTCTCAGTGGTGAGTCTGAGTTTTAATCTTGCATCTGCCGCAGATCCATTTCTTTTATTTTGTTATTTAAAAAAATAACTATTATTTCTATTATTCATATTTTTTAAATATATTTCCTTTGTCCTATCGTTGGCTGGCTGCTTTTTTTTCTGCACCAATCTAATCGCGCTGTTCACTTAAATTTTCTGTGTTTGTGTAGTATTAGTCCAATTTTATTGTGCATTAAAACTTTATTGTGCTTGGAACAATATGATCTCAGGTACAAAAGTAATTCATGTATTCATGAGATATGATTTTAAATGGGACTTAAGTTAGATACAAAATACGAGGCACAAAGCTGACGCGAGAGTAAACATATTTTCGGCACGCCGACGATTTAATACCCTTGTAGAAAATTCCCATTTGCAGATAAGTGAGCAGCGCATTCCACCGATCTTTCCTATAGTTTTTATATGTCATAGTTTTTCCATGCTAATAAGATTTTGCATATAGCTGAGGATCGAGCATTTTCGACCGATCATTCCTATGGCAGCTATATGTTATAGTAGTGCGATGTTGATAAGATTTTGCATATATGTAAGGGGCACAGTAGAACGTGTAAATTTCGAATTTGGTCAAGATATCTTGATTATTTAAGTTCTGATTTCTCTTAAGTTCTTTTATGCGTTACACATTTCCTGAAAAAGTTATAATACCCTCTACAAGGGCATAAAAGTTACTTTATTCAGTTTTTAAGCTTCTCAGATGTTAAATTTCATTTAAATTTGACGCATTAGCTTAAAGGCTTTCCACCTGCGTTTAACTATTTAGTTAGTCCAAATTCCGAGCACGACGGCGTCAAATACCCTGCCAGTTCTGACCTACAAAAGTTGAGCAGATTTTCCGCTTTTGCCACTTGTCGAAGTCGTCGTCTGTGATCGCATTTGTTTTATTTGCACCTCACTCAATTGACCATTGAGCACCTTTCCTAATGGCAGCTGGTGGATGAGGCGGCATTACGGCTGATTTTGATTTGCATACGCGTCGTTGTCGACTCTGGCAAATGTTTAATATTTATTTTTTTGCCTTCTGCTGACCACAGCAACAAGAACTAAATATTGCACGAGTATTTTCTATGCAAAAATACAAAACAAACGCACGTAGTCGAAACACATTAGACATTAAAAAACCTGCTCAAAATTCAAGGTGCAACCTCAACGTGTTTTTTATGATTGACTGTTCCCTTTTTCTGTTTTGTTTTTGTTTTGTTTTTTTTTTTTTCATATATATTTTACTCAAAAAATGTCTGGGGCAGAGATCAACGTTTCAGATACAAACTGAGCAGCTGATAAGTAATAATGCGGGTTTTAACAAAGCCAAAAAATTGAATTAAAAAAAAAACATTAAACTTTAATTGAAATACATTTTTTGAATTTTCTCAAAATTGTTTCACATTATAATAATATTACTTTTATATTTATACCTATTCGAATTATTACGTTCGGATTTGTACACTGCAGATTTATTTCATAAGCTATACAAGCAAAATTCAAATATATTCAATAAAGCTCAAAAAAATAGAACGAATTTTTAAATAATTCAAAGAATCTAGAGCACTTCGACAAATGCATTCTACTTCCTACAAGGCTACAAAAGCTTCAATTTTCGAGCTATCATTATATAATTAATATATGCTATATATAGTTAATATCATTTCCATTTGAGTTTCCTTATTTGATATGAAGTTATTAAAAATGGGCAATTTAATTTAATTATATTGCAATTTACTACAGGCTTTTATCAACAAGCTACTCTAAATACTACTTAACTGGTTGTTAAAAATAGCCATGCGCATGTCAAATTTAAATTAGCTTGTACAAATAGAAAAGGCACAAATCTAAGGTGATTGAGCTCCGTAGCCGAGCGACAGACCACATTCAGTATCTGTGTGTACAAAACCGACATATATGTATGTAGATATGTTCGTCAGGTACATATCGTCGCAAAATATTGTGACGTAATGAATGCCGTCATGCTGTATGTGTATGGGCATGTGCATGTGCATGTGTGGGTAAACACAATGTAAACAAAAACGTAAATATAACATGACTTGTTGAAATAGAATTCAAGTAACATTCTTTTGTTTACGCTCAAGATCGGGTTGCCGAAAGTATATTGATATTTTCGTCATTTCAAATGAAAACGCGCTCTAATCTCTCACGTATTTTTAAAGTGAACCTCATTTATTGTTGCTGTGCAGCAAATAATCGCAAATGCCTTTTTTGATAAGCAGCGATGCGTTTTCGCATAAAAACTGTTGCCAACAATGGGTACAACTGTTAGTTAACAGAGCGCTGTTAAAACGAACAGACCAAGGTGAGCCGCGGGCAATGCGCATTGAGTTAACCGTTAACTCGTTTCGCAATTAATTGAAATTATTAATTAGCGTATGTAAGTAAGCGTGTGTCTCAGATAGATAGATAGATAGACCGGGCAATAACAATTTAAAGCGCATTTTATAGTGTCAATGTCAACGAGCGCGCGTGCGTTAGAGCGAGAGAGTCTCAAATACGTAAGCGCACGTTTACCGTTAGAACAAGTGCGGAAGCGCGTTTGCCGTTAGGCGCCTCACTCGCATGCAAAATAGTTTCAAACTGTACTCGCATTAGAGAGTTCTATTCTAATTTGTCTGCTTGCTGTGCGTGTGTGTGAGTGTGTCTGTGTGTGATGTGTGTGTGGCATACGTGGCATACATTAGGTGCGTGCTCAAAGTGCGATATGCAAAATTTTGTAGACTCCTCCGTTTGCCCCGCTACAGCTAACCCGCCGGCCCCATAAGCTGCTCGTGCTCGTGTAAAGTGTATGCAAAACTGAAACTAACATTTACCCCTCTACTTCCAGTCAGACTTTAAACCATGGCCAGTGAGCAGCCACCAATTGATGGAGTAGCAGCTGCTGCCGCTGCCGCTGTCGCTGCCGGCGGCGATGAGCCATTCCTCGGCCTGCTGGATATCGCGCTGCTGGCGGTGCTGATCGGCGGCGCGGCCTTTTACTTTTTGCGCAGCCGCAAGAAGGAGGAGGAGCCCGCACGCAGCTACTCCATACAGTGAGTACCCACCAAATTATGTTGATTGCAAATGATTTTCTAATCTCTTTCATCCGCAGGCCCACCACAGTGAGCACGACCACGGCGACGGATAATTCGTTTATCAAGAAACTGAAGACCTCCGGTCGCAGTCTGGTCGTCTTTTATGGCTCGCAGACGGGCACGGGCGAGGAATTCGCCGGACGTTTGGCCAAAGAAGGCATCAGGTATCGGCTCAAGGGCATGGTGGCCGATCCCGAGGAATGCGATATGGAGGAACTGCTGCAGCTCAAGGATATCGAGAACTCATTGGCCGTCTTTTGTTTGGCCACCTACGGCGAGGGCGATCCCACCGATAACGCCATGGAGTTCTACGAATGGATCACCAATGGCGACGTTGACCTAACGGGCCTGAACTATGCGGTAAGTGCATTATCACAGCACGCTTAATTGTTCTGATAAGGCGCGTCTGTCTGCGCCTCGCAGTCCATATCTAATCGCCGATTACATGAATCTCATGGCCGTCCAAATTGTTATTCTTATCAAGCATTGGCATATGCAGATAGCTTAACTTATCTATTTACTATACTCTTGTACGAGCTGTGTAATAAGCGGAACTCTGTTTATTTGTATATACATTAGATTTTCATATTATTATTGTTAGCGAAATTCATTTGTTGCTTACGTTGCGGGAAGTGAAATATGTCAACCATAATTGATATTTTAGAGAGTGGAGAGACTCAATTAAAAAATATGTATTTTACTTAAGTCGATACTACTGTGCATATAACTTTCTTGACACGTATTTAATTGGCAGAACATCATGAATTTAAAGAATTAATTTAAATTTAAGAAATTGAATATTTTAATTGACGCTTGTGACGTCACAACAGTTTCCTGTTAAGTCTTATTTAGCTTGCGCTGGCCACCCTGTTAAGTGCGTAGCAGTTTCGGTCTGTGATGTTAGTTGGTCACACTGTCACGTAACAGCTGTTAGTAAAACGTGGAGTCGCACGCACAACTGTTGCGCAATTTTGTTTACGATTTGTGATGCAAAATAATTACAATAATTCGTTTTCGCTGAATGAAAACTATTGCCATGTGAAATATATGCGATTGCGGCTGCTGCGGAACACATAACTGGGCGGGAGCTAAATAATGTTAAACACGCTCGCCGGCGCCGGCAGCGCTGTTGCCCTTGGCACGCGTCGCTGTCAGTGGAACGGGCGCACTTTGATCTGGCTATTAAATAATTTATATAATAAGGCAACAACACGCGTAGACAGACAAACCCAACACGGGGTAATTGAGCATTATGTGGTTAATTACGACTGAAACAATTCGTATTGCTTCTATTCTCAACAGGTCTTTGGCCTAGGCAACAAAACCTACGAGCACTACAACAAAGTGGCTATCTATGTTGACAAGCGTCTAGAGGAGCTTGGCGCCAACCGCGTCTTCGAGCTGGGTCTGGGCGATGACGATGCCAAGTGAGTCTTTCATAAGGTCTAGAGGTTATTTCAATCTTACGTCTCAATTACTTTGCTAGCATTGAGGATGACTTCATCACGTGGAAGGATCGCTTCTGGCCCGCCGTCTGTGATCACTTTGGCATTGAGGGCAGCGGTGAGGAGGTGCTGATACGCCAGTATCGTTTGCTCGAACAGCCCGATGTGCAGCCGGATCGCATTTACAGCGGCGAAATTGCGCGTCTGCATTCCATGCAAAATCAGCGGCCACCGTTTGATGCTAAGAATCCATTCCTGGCTCCCATACGCGTCAATCGTGAGCTGCACAAGGGCGGCGGTCGCTCGTGCATGCACATCGAGCTTAATATTGAGGGCTCCAAGATGCGCTACGATGCCGGCGATCATGTGGCCATGTATCCCATCAATGACAAGTCGCTCGTAGAGAAACTCGGTCAGTTGTGCAAGGCTGACTTGGATACGGTGTTCTCGTTGATCAACACCGATACGGACAGCAGCAAGAAGCATCCATTCCCCTGCCCCACCACCTATCGCACTGCGCTGACGCACTATTTGGAAATAACTGCTATTCCGCGCACACACATACTCAAGGAGCTGGCCGAGTACTGCACCGACGAGTCCGAAAAGCAAATGCTGCGCAGCATGGCCTCCCTGACGCCGGAGGGCAAGGAGAAGTACCAGAGCTGGATACAGGATGCCTGTCGCAATGTGGTGCACATACTGGAAGATATCAAGTCCTGTAAGCCGCCTCTAGATCATGTGTGTGAGCTGTTGCCACGCCTACAGCCGCGTTACTATTCCATTTCGTCGTCGGCCAAGCTACATCCAACTGATGTGCATGTAACTGCTGTGCTGGTCGAATATAAAACGCCCACGGGTCGTGTTAATAAGGGCGTGGCCACCACATATCTAAAGCACAAACAGCCCAAGGATGGCGCCGAGGAGGTCAAGGTGCCGGTGTTCATACGCAAATCACAGTTCCGACTGCCCACTAAGCCGGAGACGCCCATCATTATGGTGGGTCCGGGCACCGGCTTGGCGCCCTTCCGTGGCTTCATCCAGGAGCGCCAGCATTTGCGTGATGAGGGCAAAACAGTCGGCGAGTCGGTGCTTTACTTTGGCTGCCGCAAGCGCAGCGAAGACTACATCTACGAGGCGGAGCTCGAGGAGTGGGCCAAAAAGGGCACGCTCACCCTGAAGACGGCCTTCTCACGCGACCAGGCGAAGAAGATTTATGTGCAGCACTTGCTGGAACAGGATGCGGATCTAATATGGGATGTGATTGGTGAAAAAAAGGGACACTTTTACATCTGCGGGTGAGTTCAAATGCCACTGCATCTCATTCCAATCTCTTATGCTCGCTTTTGTTTCTTGTAGCGATGCCAAGAACATGGCCGTGGACGTTAGAAATATTCTAACGAAAATTCTGTCCACAAAGGGCAACATGAGTGAGGCGGATGCTGTCCAGTATCTGAAAAAGATGGAGGCCCAGAAACGCTACTCGGCCGATGTGTGGAGCTAATCGCGGCGCGAATACCATTCGCCCCACTCTCACTCCAGATGAGTCACAGTCGCGGAACAATGAAAGCAATGAAAACAAGAAAGAACAACTAAAAGCCACACGTTAACGTAAGCGAAAAGTCGTTGTAGTTAATTAAGCTATATGAATTAATTATATATGAAATTGGTTTGGGAACTTCAGCTGCGGTTCAACAAACGGCGTTCAAGTAACGTTTATGCCTAATTCTAGTGTTAAATTGATTGATTATATAAATATATATATATATATATATATATATATATATATCTATGAATGTATTTATATATAAAATGCCTTTTTATTGTTGTGCAAATCAATTTGATGATGATGTTAATTATGATAATGATGTTTGTAATTGTATTTTAAGTAGTTTTTGTATGTATGCAATTAATTGAAATGTTCTAACACCACATTTTCATTTAGTTTGTGTGCTTTTTATTGGTGATTTCATAAAACAAATGAAATAATTTGTGCAATTGTACAACAAAATAAAAAATTGTATTTCACTTTCTATACATAAACGATAAATAAAAGTAAAAACATTGCACATGCTTGAGCTAGCTAGCAAGTAAAGTTAACTGTTTGTATATAAGCCCGAGTTTATGTAACAGTGCATCTGGTAGTCGGATACAACCGAAAAGAACTTTTTTGGTTCCACCATTCAGTTTCCCATATATAAAACATACATGTTAATTAAAAGAAAATATTAATGTTAACATTGCGTAGTTAACAGAATGCTCCTCATGCTTAGACATTTCGGACAGTCTGGCAACGCCGCATTGCAACGGTTAATGCGAAAGTAAAGCAACAAGTCAGTGAAAAGTGCGCGTAATTCTTTAAAAACTTTATTTTAATGTGTAAATATATGTGCAATATCTGTAAACTAAGCTAAAACACGTGTCCAGGTGAGTGCCACACCAATTACTGTTAATATTTAATCAAAAACACCCGCTCGCTCGAAATGCGGCAAAGTGTAACGCAGCGTCTCTGCCAAACGGGTTGATGCAAACATTTGTTCGGTTTTTTGCTTGGTAAAATCGGCGTCTGTGAAGTTCTCCAGGCTATTGTCAGACGTTTCAGACTTGTCCTGGCTAACGGTGGGCAGTATGCCGTAATTGGCAAAAAATCCATAGCCCTCGCGACGATGCACCTCGGCCAGCAGCTGCTCGTAGCTGGGCACAGGCACGCCCAGGTCCAGATTGAGCAGCGTCTCCGACAGGCGATTGTGATAGATTTTCAGCAGCTGCGGCCGCTTGTGCTTCAGCACATCCAAACTGAGGCTGGTGTAGAAAAAGTAGTTCAGATCGATGCCGGGACTGCCCCAAATGCTTAGCTGAAAGTCTATAAAGATCACATCCTGCACCTGCTGTGCTCCATTGTATTTGAACAGCATGTTGTTCACCCAAAGATCACCATGATTCAGCACCTTGATCTCCTTATCCACTGGCGCCTGGGCACGCACCAAATGCGCGCGCTGCTGCTCCAAGTATTTGCCAATCTTGCCCGCAATCCGCTCGTAGCCCGACCAGCTGTTGACCAGCTTGTGCAGCTGTTGTCCATTGCCGGCAAAGAAGCGCATCAGCAGGCCGTCGTCCTTGGCCAGGCCATCCGGTGACAACATGCCATCCCCATAGGCTTCAAAAATGTCGGGATCCTTAAAAAAATGTACACACATTTTGTTGTGCAATCAGAACCAACTAGAGAATTTGGTGTGAAACTTGGATTCTACGTTTATATTCTTCTGTGTGTTATAAGGATTCGCTTCTGGAACACCATGTATATATATTCTTGATCATTACCTGCCTGCCTGTCTGTCTGTCTGTCTTATCTAATGCAAACTACGTCCTTTTTCTTAAAGTTGTAGTCCAAAAGTTTGGCATAAGTCGGTGAATCCGGACTTTATATCATATAGCTGCCATAGGAACCTTATCAAGATCAGTACTTTACTTATTTCCTAACATATCTGCAAACTGACTTTCAAATTGGGCTACTACTTATATTATTTGGTTTTTATAGATAGAAATTAAGACGTTTGTATAAAAGTTGACTAAGATTTTATTGGGTTTTCTTCTGCTTGATGTTGAATAGCCCTAATTGGATTTCAAGATAAATAACGCCAAAAGTTTAGCTACTCTTTTAAATAAATTGAAAGCTGTTTAAACAAGAATAACAGCATATAAAAAGTGCGTAGTATTTTATTAAACTGACTTCAGTTAAAAATTTGGAAGCTGTTTAGACACGAATGAAAGCGGGGTGGGCATAATAAAACATAAACTAAATTATATTGTAAGAAAGAATTAAAATTTACTTAAATTGCTAAGTCTTTGCTTCCTTATCAACAAGTCGCGACTCACTTTTTAGTATTATCTGTAGCGGGCCTATTTTATATTCGACTTACCAGCGTTGCTAGCACCATTGAGGCGGCATGAAATTCGGCGAGTCGTTCCATAACCAGACGACAATGTGTCTCATCTAGGCCCGTTTCACGTGAGGCCATCACATAGCCATGTTGGCCAAGATCTTCAAAGACCAGCGTGTTCTGCGGCTGTTTCATGCACTGATAGAGTCTGACAACGGATCTTTATAACAAATCTGATTGCTGCGGCTAGACAATATTATTATCTCACTTGGGTCCAAAGCGTCGTTTGCATTGCGTAAGCAGTTCCAGGCGTGGCAACAGCTCATAGTAAGTGATCTTCTCCTTCAAGTACACCTGCAAGTCTTCAAGGAACTCCACAGAGTCAATGCGCGGTATGCTCTTCACAATAACCATCATTTGCTCATCCTTCTGTGAAGCTTTGCCATTTTGTTGCCTGTAGCTCAATTTCACACGATAGATTTGACTGCAGTAGTTCTCGCCGGTGCTGCTGCCCATGCTGCAGTGAATCCCAGTCAGCTGAATACGGGATGTGCGCAGTGCCGTCTCCAGCACCTCGGTGAAGAAGGGCACATCCAAGTGTTTGGGCGGCGAAGCTTGTAGCTCCTGATCGTACACAATGCTGCACATGTTGTGATCTCAAGTAGTTTGAAAAGCTTGAACGAAGCGTCAGGCATTTTATATGCACAGCCGCACAAAGCTGAGATTGTTGTTGGCTTTAAATTAGCGTAATTAATAATATTTATAAATGTGCCACTACATACACATGCATATAATTTCACTTAATAGGCGACAACAGCGTCTAGTTGTCCACTTTTTCAATATAAACAAACACGCGACCTTTTACAGATTTTATATGAATAATATAATTTTCACAAGTTTCTTCTGCTCTCTTTCAATAGCGTTTCGTTGACTAGCTTGACTGTTTGACAGGCTGTCCGACACTCGGAAATTATCTTATCACGGTCCACCCACTTTTCAGATTATGTCTATGATTATTTAATCATCGTTATCTATTTAATTTTCTACTAGTTTCTCAGGCGAGAGCATCGCCCAGACTCATCAGATCGAAGCTTTGTATTTCTCTCGCGTCTCTGTAGTTCCTCGAGCGCTCTCAGCTTTTGCTTTTGTTATATTTCTGTGTTTCACGATTTACTGATTAATGCGCAACATCTCAGCTAATCTTTGTTTTTAATACTTTTAGAATTAAATTTTTTTTTTTTTGCTGCCACAATTTCATTTTACATTCATATTTTTATTTTGCAACATATCAGCTTTTAATCTCTCGCAATTATAAAATTTGTTTTTGCAATTATTAAAAATTTTTATAAATTTTAATAAAGCAATTTATGTCATAATTAGGCAGCCCAAATGACACTTTAATTTGTCTAGAAAATTGTATATTTATTTCTATATGTCGTATATTTCAAATGTGATTATTTTTTGTTTTTTGGGCAAACAGAGGAAATATGCAAAAAACTGAAATATTCTTGGACTTGACAAATGTTGTGGCTGTAGTATTTATAATAAAAATGTGATCATCTTTAGGTTTAAAAGTAGTTATTGCCGAATTGTGTGCCTTTAGTTCATAAAATCTCTGACGCTTTACTTTAAATCATGAGACAGGCATGGACAAATCTGATTTGGATTATATTTACTTTTTGGGGTTGCGAATGCTTCCTTCTGCCTCTAATATTTGCTGCCGACACTTTGTTATACGCTTTATGGTTTTAGTTATCTTTTTTACGGCTGTAATGGCTGCATTTCTAGCTTTTATCTTATGAATATCATAATGCCAAATCACAGTTATAGCTGTCTTTAGCCCAGTCGCGTTGCGCTCGAAAGATGTCACAAGATTCAAAAGATATTCAGTCATGCAATACTGAAAGCCATTAAGAATGTGCAACATTTGTTCTAGGGCCTTAAATTGTTAATTTACAAAATAATAAAATAACAGTGTATTCAATTAGAGGGCAATCAAATATTATGCAATATTTATTCGGTATGAACCGTTGGAGCAACAATGTGCAATTGTTTCTCACTGCCTTCAATCGAATAGTTGCAAGTCATCCAAACGCTTCAACGTGAACTTGAGACTCTCGAGAGTGCGTGCATTACCATCGAACATGAGCTGCACCTTTTGCCTGGCGAATTCCTCGTCATGAAAGTTCTTCAGCGAGTTGTCCTCCGAATCAATGCCAATCATGCTCATCAGCGGAAAGAAACCAAAGGCCACAAAAAATCCATAAGCCTCCCGGGCTCGAATCTCAGCCATGACATCCTCATGAGTGGGCAGCGGTTTGTCCCAGGGCAGCTGCTGCAGACAGCCCAACAGCGCCTCGTAGTATGCATCTATTAGCTGTTGGCGTTGCGTCTTAAGCACATCCAGCTCCAGGCTAGTATTGAGAAAGTAATTGACATCGAAGCCCAGGCTGCCATAGAAGCATAGCTGAAAGTCAATCTGCCAGAAACTTGCATATGTCAGATCATTTTTATGAATCTAGAGGTCACGCACTTACAATCTTCGCTTGCTGCACCTTGTGGTGTTCATCGTACTTGAAGAATATATTGTTCACCCACAGATCTCCATGGTTCATAACATTTAAATCTCCACGCAGTGGATAAACCGATTTTAGCACACGCTCCGTGAAATGCTCGTGATAGCGATAAAGTTTTCGTGTTATCGAACCAAATCCTTCGCAATCATTGGTCAATGCTGCCAATTTTAGCAGCTGAGTGCCAAAAAGCAGCTTAAAAGGCTCCGATTTGATGGCATCCATGTGCAGCAGTCCAAACGGATAACGATCTATTATCGTTTGAGGCTCATGCTCGGCCATGACCATGGTCAGGGCATGATATTCGGCTAACTTGCGCATCACCAGCCTCGCATGCGCAGCATCCAGGCCAAGCTGTCGGCACTTCAGCTGATAACCCTCACAGCAGAGATCCCCAAAGACAATGGTCTGCTCCGGTTGCGTTGTTGAATAGTAGTGCCTGAACAGGAATAAATTTGGTGATTTAGTCAGGAACTAATAATTGGCTTACATTTGCTGTTGGGGATTCGGAAAGACTCGCATGGTATGTCCCATTCTTTTAACCTGCGCTCACCTGGCTCCCAGTGTCCAGGGCTCTTCGCCTGCATGTGCCCGCCACATGAGCGCCTCCAGCTTTGGCTTGATGTACAGATAGAAGAAAGTCTCCTTGTTGTAGATATGGAGACGGGCCAGTATGGCCTGCTTCTCGGCCGGCATACACTTGACTATGAGCGAGGTCTCCACCAGTTTTTGATCCGCTGTCTGATACCTGACATGGGCCCGATATATATTACTGCAGTAGTTCTCGCCGCCACGCGTCAGATCCGTCAGCTGCACATCCAGCACTTGGAGATCCTGCTGTTGCAGGCCGTGCTCCAGGGTACGTCTGAAGAACTGTGGCGTTAAGTAAAGCGGCAGCGTCTCCGTTGTGTTCGACATTGTGTTTGGCTATGAATAGATTCGATATAGTGACTGAACGTCTTATATAGAAAATCAAAGTCATAGCTGGTTGAGTCTCAATTGACCCCAATGGAGCATCTTTGGGTGCATCTGTTTGCGACTTAATTGACACAATAGAAATGCATTCCCAGTCTCGACTTTGGATTATCGGTGGCTGCCTTTGATGCACACTCTACATACTTGCTGTAGGGGATGCGCCAAAAATTGTAATACTGCTCCAAATTTGGTCTTTTAATTAAAATATAAATATGAAATTTATAATAATAATAAAGATAAATAATAAATAAAGATTACTGATATTTCCCTCCATATAGATAGATTTCGTAAAGTCAGCGATATATAAATAGTTTAAAATTATTTGCCCGAACTGTGAGAAATTTCAATGGATGCCTGTAAATTGTATAAAATTATATTCCCGCTTTTAGTTAAAAAATATGAAAATTTGTTTGAAAACCCTGCTTCACTGTGCACTTACAGACGACACAATGTAGTTTGGTTGTTTCTTTCTCTTATCAAGCGATAAAGAATGTATATATTTAGACATGGGTATAGCAACGACTTAAAGCAGAAACAAGTTTCATAGTAGAGCTCACAGATTGATAGAGCGAGATTGTTTCCTAATGAGAGTATATCAAAGTCATTAAGAGTTATTTTTTTTTAGAAATATAGATTATCAACTTCTATAGTTATCGTATGCAATCAATGTAATCAGTTTTTAATTGCCTGCCCAAAAAATGTTATCTTATTTCTTTAACAGTTGCACAATCAAACGCCTGCCTGACTTGCTTTGTTTTTTTTCATGCTTCATCGTTTTTGTGTAGAAATCGCTTAAAGTACGCCAACCAATTAAAAAGTCCATTAGATTCATTCAAGAACTGCAGCTACGTTAGATCATTTTAATTGAACTTTGGTCTATAAAAACCTAAATCAAGTATGACATAAGAATTAGCCCTCATCAGGCAGCCGTATAGCTGTCCGTCCTTGTCTGCGTGCGCCTCTTTTAGCCGTCCGTGTTTGCCATTCAGGTTGATGAACCCATAAGCCCATAAGTGGAGCTTGTCTGTCTAGTAATCGTTAAAGACACCCAGTTCCTCGGCGCGCTTCAGAGCCCATTTGTGATAGTCGTTGAGAAACTTTTGCGAATAGATGGCTTCCATATGCCTTTGTTTAAAGCTCTCATCCTGCATATTCTCAATGCTATTGTCCTTAGACAGCTCTTGCGGCATGGTTATCACGGGCAGAAATGCGAATAGGCCAAATATTCCATAAGTCTCACGGCTGCGCAGCTCCCAAAGTAGATCCTCATAGCTGGGTATTTTCTCAAAGCGTGCATACTCCAAGGCATCGCGGAACGCTTTGTAGTAGACTTGAATCAGCTCCTCTCGACGCTTCTGCAGCAGCTCCAATTTGACGCTCGTATTCAAAAAGAAGTTCAGATCACAGCCAGGGCTGCCATAAAAGCTAAGCTGAAAGTCCACAAATATGGCGCGTGTTGGCACATCGGGCTGAGCTTTATTGTCGTAGGCATACATAAAGTTGTTGGTCCACAAATCGCCATGATTGAGTACCACATAACGATCGTTCGGCTTTGGTTTGGCAGCCGCTACACAAACTTGTTTGAAATTATCCGAAAAACGTTGCAGATGCTTTGTAATCTTCTCGTAGCCAGGCCATTTGCCTGAGACTTGGATTAGGCCTTTTAGAAAGCCGCCAAACATATTCTCAAAGGTAGCACTTTTGATTAAAGTCTCTTCACTCAGCATGCCGCGTTTGTATTGCTTAACGATTTCCGGATCCTGCGTAGAGTACGGAATTGGTTATTTGTTTGAACTTGAACTATATATTATCCGCTTGTTACCTTTTTGGCCAGCACCATGGACGTAGCATGTAGCTTGCCCAGCTGTTTTAGGATCAGCGTGGAATGCGCCCAATCCAAACAATTTTCGCGTGAGGCCAATTTAAATCCATCGACCTTCAGATCATCGAAGACAATCGTCTGCACGGGCGCCTTAACGGAATGGTAGTATCTATAAAAAGTTTTTAATTAGCACTCGGTCGACACTTTTTCTCCGACAACTCACTTGGCACCAAATCTGTCGCCATTGGTTAGAATGTCTAAGCGTGGCAAGATATCTG